GTGTGAAATAAAAAAAAAAAAAAAAAATTATCCATGGCAATTAGTGATTGATAATGATAATAATACAGTTTATTTGATTGTGTTATCAGCATGCTCATGCTTTTTTCTTTTTTATAACAGATGTGAATGAATGAATGAACACGTCCATCCACCAGTTCCGAAGAGAGCCAAGGCAAACAAGCAGGCAAGCAACAGGCAGTCCACTTTTTTATATATATAAAAAAAACAAGTTTGGTCTTTTTATGTTTGTTTTTTTGAAAGGATGTGTTAAGTGATAGTAATGACTTTAAGTCTTTACGTTCTTAGGAAAGATTTCTATTTTGAATAAATGCTGTTCTTTTTAACTTTTTATTCATCAGTGAATCATTCTTAGTTCAGGCTGCCTCACAGCACCTTGATGGGCCATTGGGGGAGTGTCTTTAGTCTTCCCACCCAGGTGTAAATCACATTAATATTCATGGCCATTCACACTCCGACGCATACAGCAGTGCTGACCAAAAACTGACGTAAGAAATTTAAATCATTATATTGTTTGTGAAAGAGTGGTCAGAATGATTTTCACTTCATTTTGAAGTAAAAATTCTAGCCTACAAGAATAGTAACTCAAAAGTCTTGTGGACAACTATTCAGTATGTGTTAAATGGCCTTATTGCGGTGACATTTTTTTCCCCAAAACGTACTAACCACGCATAATATTTTTTTTTCTATAAAATGCAAACATGTACATCCATTTTGCTCACATATTATTGTAGCAGAGTTTGTGCTGAATACAGCACATTTATATGTTGGCAAATGGTATGTTTTAAGTAGCTGAAATAAGCACAAATGTCAGGGCATGTCAAAACATCTCAAGGGCCCCAAAAACACCTCAGACCCCAGAGGGTTAAGAATGAATCACTTATTGGGCTGCTAACTACTGGTGGTTTAAGACAGGCCTAAACCAGCCAGCACAAAAACCACCTTATTTTTCTCCTTCTCCTTCTAGTAATGGAACAAGAGGTGAAAACCCTGCTGGGGGACAGGGGCCATTGAATATATACAAAATGCAAGGATGCAGCTCTGGCACCTCTGCGCCTTCAGGGTATTCGCATCATGAATGACATCGACGACTGGTTATAGCTCATTCGCATCAGTTGGCAGTTCGGCATCGAGATGTCATTCTCGCCCACATGAAAAAGTTGGGGTTACGGCTAAACGTCAAAAAGAGTGTGCTTTCTTCTCTTCAGAGGACCAGTTTTCTAGGCGTGGTTTGGGACTCAATGTTGATGCAGGCACACCTCTCCCCTGCACGCATTGAGTTAATCTTTTCGAACTTAAAGAGAATAAAGCTAGGCCAGTCACTCACTATGAAACAGTTTCAGAGACTGTTGGGACTGATGGCAGCAGCGTCCAACGTGATACCTTTTAGCCTGCTGTACATGAGATCCTTGCAGTGGTGGCTCAGGACCAAAGGGTTTTCCCTGAGGGGCAACCCATTTCGCATGATGAGGGTCACACACGATGCTTACGTAGTCTTATGTTGAAGAAACCATGGTTCCAGTCCCAAGGTCTTGGGGAGCGATTCTGGAAGGTCGCTCGACTAAAGGTCTTTGGAAGGGTCATCATCTCTCATGTTTTTCTGGCTCTAAAGAATTTCCTCACAGACCTTAGGGGCCATCATGTGCTTATCCGCACAGACAATACATTGGTGGTCGCCTACATAAATCATCAGGGGGGTTTGCGTTCGCGTCCACTTTGCAAACTGGCGCACCAAATCCTACTGTGGTCCCAGGGGAAGCTGCTCTCACTCAGGGCACCTTACATCCCCGGGGTCCAAAATATAGGAGCAGACATCCTGTCGAGGCAGGGTCTGAGGCCCGGGGAATGGAGGCTCTACCCAGAGGTGGTGGAGCAGATATGGAGGGTGTTCTGCCAGGCACAATGCGTCTCGAGAGACGTCTCACTGTCCACTCCGGTTCTCCCTCACGCATCCAGCTCCACAGAGGCCGAGGCTACATTTGTATGCCTTTACCCTGATCGCTTCCCCTGAAGTTCGCCTACTGTTAATAGCCCCACGGTGGCCGGGCCGAGTAAGGGTCCCACCCTTAGTGTCTCTCCTCGACGGGCCCCTACTGGAGTTACCCGTCAGGAGGGACCTTCTTTCCCAAGCAGGGGACTCGATTGTTCATCCCCGTCCAGAACTGTGGAGACTTTGGGCTTGGCCTCTGAGGGGGCCCAGCTTATAGGTACTGGTCTCTCAAACGATGTTGTTGAGACCATTTTACTAGGGCCCTATGAAATCAGTTTTATTTTTTCCCAAATTCCGTTTTTTCCGTTTTAATTTCTGGGAATTCGTTTTTTTTTTACCCTTTACTGTTATTTTAGTCATAAAAAGAGTGTGCTTTTAAAGTTAATGATTAAAATGTATACAAATAAAATAGGAATGACCTTAAATTACAGACATTTACTCAGTAGCCTTTTCACGACAAATACTGCATGATGCAACATGACACTGCACTCTTCAAGTAACAACAAAATATGGTTATGAGCTTTAAACTGTCCAGTAAAATAAATTATATTAGTTTAAAGTTTAAATAAGTCACACTCTGTCTCTCTCTTGCCCAGTGTCGCTCGCGGAGTTCGCTTTGCTTTTGTCCAGTCCGGCGCCTCATAGACAGACGCGGTGTGTTTGTGTGTGTGCGCGTGCGTCTATGTGAGAGAGACGCGTGAGTGAAAGAGAGACGGAGGGAGAGCGGGGAAAGGAAATACAACAGAAATAATACGCTGCGTGTTTTAAATAGCGTAAAAAAAAAAAAGAACGAAACGCAATATGTGACGGCAGGAGTTGATTTTGTGGCCACGAATTAGTCTATGTGTGGGAAACACTGCACAAAAGTCACATGCGAACTGCTCGGCTCGGTACTGAGGGCTTATAGCGTCGAGTTTCTTAACTTTTTCACAGAGGAAAGCAGAGCCGTGGAGAGCCGCTTCGCCATGCTTTCATTGTTTTGATGCCGTCATTGGAGCTGAAATGATGGGAGGGGTTGTGTCGCCCATATTTGCTTCCCCCGGTCTGCATTTTCACCAGACTACGTTCTTCTCCCACACAAAAACAGAATTTCAATCCAAATATGTAAAATTCCACGAAATTCCGCGTTAACACTAGATTCCGCGTTAATTTCCCAATTCCGTAATTCCGTCCGCGATTCCGTGATCGCGGAAATCATAGGGCCCTATTTTACATTACAGAGCTCCCTCCATGAGGAAACTGAAAGCCCTGAATAGACAGTTTTCACTTCTTAGTGTAGTGATCATCGGCTGGACCCAGTTAACTGCCCAGTTGGTACAGTGCTGGAGTTCCTGCAAGAACAGTTCACTGCAAGTCTATCCCCGTCCACTTTAAAGGTTCATGTGGCGGCCATAGCTGCTTACCACATTCCTTTGGGTGGAATGTCTTTGGGGAGAAACCCTTTGGTATCTCATTTCCTCCGTGGTACTCTGAGGCTAGCAGCTTGTACTAGGGTGCCGACATTGGATCGGGCCATTGTTTTGCAAATTTCACACATGCTTCAAGACGTAATCACGCAGAGCATTCCCACAGCGTCAATCGACGCAGTGTCTCATTCCCTTTTCAGGGAACCGAGGTTACAGTTGTAACCGAGGTGTTTCCATCCACTTATGTTGTGGCCATTTTCATCACTTGCATAAAAAAAAGTTGGATGGAAAACGCCAAAATGCGCATAAATTCTAAAAATGTGAAGAAAAAAAAACCCGTATGCGCTCATTTGAGTCAGATAAGAGAGATTTCTTATCTGATAAGAAAACATCCGCATAAACAAAAACTCCTCGATGTGCATCAAAAAAGACATGTGACACTGTGATGGGACGGATAATTGGACCAACCAGCGGACCGATCTCATTGCACAGCATCTGAAATGCTGTTTTGGTTATTCTGAAATGCCAGAGCAAAGTCTGTCATCAAAGTACTACGGTATAATTCCCTACCAGAACGGTTTTACACGACTGCATTCCCAAACAGCAGGCATCCACCTCCGAAATCAAGATAACTTTATTGCGTTTCGTCTGCACGCTCTGAGACACAAGTAATTTATTATATACTAAATTATTTTACACAGTGTCTTCTACTTCAGCAACTTCCATTTTTCTTAGTGATATTTAGCGCAAGTTTATCAGGAAGTGACGATTTTGTTCTCTTCGGCTCACTGGATGGAAACGGTGCTTTATTCGCAAATGTTTAATGTGATATTCCAATTTTGCGGATAAGCTAAATTCACAAGTTTGGATGGAAACATAGCTATAGACTTGCCGCCACCTACTATCATAGTGCACCAAGCACTATGAAAATACAAGTATCGGATCAGGAAAAATAAATAAGTAGGTTGTGGTACACAAACTATAAATGTTTCTGTTATTTGGTACTGTGACTTGACTTGCTTGAGCTGAGCCACTGACTTGACTTGCTTGGTTTGTGTGCACTTGACTTGATGGTAGGGACTTGAGTTACTTGGTCCTCCCACCTTATATATTTTTGGTTTACAAATCTCACTTAGTGACAGGCGATTGTTTTCAAATGCGTATGTGTGTGCACATGCTCTCTTGTAAAGTGTTTATGACATGCAGCTGTGCGCTAATCTCATCAGTATAAAAGCTGTATTTTTTTTTAACCAAGCTCAAAATTTGTGGGATTTGTGATGTCTCAAGAGCAATATCTAAACAGGTTTTAAAAAAGACTAAAGCAAGACAAAGGCACCTAGCTTTACAACGTCACACCAATGGATCATTAAATTTGATTGGTATTAGAACTGACCACTGAAATTTTTGTACTCTCTCGGAAACCATCCTATTACACTTTATGCTACCTATAAAGTCCAAGGCCACCGTTGTATTCACCAAAGAAACCATTTACCAGGTGTGCAAAAACTCACTTTGTGCACCTATAAAATATGTTTTATTTAATTTTATATTATTATATATTAATAAAGATTAAATGTGGCACTTACCTTCGACTTATCTGTGAGAGATTCCAAATATGAATGGTTTCCATAAGGAACTAGTCGATATCTACAAAGAGAACAAACCATATTAGAAATCTTTATAAATTATGTTAATCGTGTAGGCTTCACAATGGCTTGGATATTATGCTGCTTACACTGGATGCATCGCGTTGCCGACGGTAAATAGGTGCTCCTTTCTATTTATGATGTACTACACGTTTGTAATTTGAGCTAATAAGAGGCCAAATAGGTCTGGAATTTGTAAAGCTTTCAAGCTACATTTATCAAAACAGTTTAACTTGGATTTTCTGTTATCTTTTCACTTTCATTTTGCCTCTGTCCCAACTTTTTTAAAGTGTGTTTCAGCCATCAAAATGTGTTTATATTTACAAAATACAATTAATTTGGCCAGTGAAAATATAGAATTCTTTTCTTTGTACATTTGTCAGTTAAATATAAGTTCAAGAGAATTAGCAAACCAAATATTCTTGATTTTATTGCCCTTTACAAAATGTCCCAACTTTTCTGGAAATGGGGTTGTAAATATTACTGGGGAACATAGCATTATGACCTCTGCTCCAAACATTGTTGAGAGCACTTTTGGTGCATAGCCTTTCAAGGCTTTAAAGTGACTCACATGGCCCAAATTCCATACAGGAAGCTTCCACTGAGAGCACCTGCATGTCATTCACACACTTCACAGAAGCCAAAGCCAGTAGCAGCATTGCCGTGAAAGAAAGCACTTAAGGGTGGACCCTTAGGGCTTTCAGAACTAGTGTCAGATCCCAAGTGGGAAGAGTAGCAAGTGGTGCAGATCTCAAAGTGCTTTTTCTTTTTAATCCAGGTTTAGTTTGACCATGAACAATGCACTATCACTTTAATTCAGCGTGTGCTGCACAGCAAAAATAGATTAATAATAATGAATAACGATCGCTGCACGGCACAGATCCTGCAACGTGCTGGCCACGACACATCCGTGTGCAGTTTGAATGCTCTAATCTTTTAGTATGGGCACAGAAAAAACATATGGTCCAAAATTCCTCCACAACAATGTGAGAGAAAATACAGAAAATGATTACTTCAAGTTATTGCTGCTGAAGTTAATTTTAAAAGCTATTGAATTATGGGGTTTTTATGGGGTATTTATTTTTGATAAGCAAATAATGAAACGTTGTAATATGTCTGATATATATGCTGTATTTACCTAATTTTAAGACCTGCTAAGGAGCAGACGATTTTTTTTTTTATTATGTACTAATGCGTAAAACAATATATTCAAAGAGGGTGTACTTTCTTTTTCACATGACTGTATATGTTACATTATTTTAGCATCAGGGTTTGAAATTAACACCTGCCAACCAGTCAAATGAGGGATGAAAATCCACCATGGTGGGTAAGGCATATCAACACTCTAGGCAATTTGGCAGGATATGATTCATAAATTATATTCTATCACTTCGCATGGCTTCGCTATCAGAACTCTACCCATAAAAGGAGTCTCAAACATTAGAAATACAAAGCACAAAGAGGGTCGCACACTGACAGAAAAGCAGCGAAGCGGCATGTCTTTAAAATTCAAACACATTGTTTTCTATGACCATACGCACAACAGCAGCACCACTCAGCGTCAGTCCGCAGTGCCCAACTATGACTCCAGCTGTTCAAAATCATGCCACGCCATAGCGTCACATTATTTACCGATTTTGCAGGTTTTCCCACTTACAAAGCATGTAGAAGTCTGTAATTTTTATCATAAGTACTCAACTGTGAGTGGCGGAATCTAAAACAAAAATCCAGAAAATCGCATTGTATGATTTTTAAGTAATTAATTTGCATTTTATTGCATGACATAAGTATTTGATACATCAGAAAAGCAGACCTTAATATTTGGTACAGAAACCTTTTTTTTGCAATTACAGAGTTCATACATTTCCTGTAGTTCTTGACCAGGTTTGCACACACTGCAGCAGGGATTTTGGCCCACTCCTCCATACAGACCTTCTCCAGATCCTTCAGGTTTCGGGGCTGTCGCTGGGCAATACGGACTTTCAGCTCCCTCCAAAGATTTTCTATTGGGTTCAGGTCTGGAGACTGGGTAGGCCACTCCAGGACCTTGAGATGCTTCTTACGGAGCCACCCCTTAGTTTCCCTGGCTGTGTGTTTTGGGTCGTTGTCATGCTGGAAGACCCAGCCACGACCCATCTTCAATGCTCTTACTGAGGGAAGGAGGTTGTTGGCCAAGATCTCGCGATACATGGCCCCATCCATCCTCCCCTCAAAACGGCGCAGTCTTCCTGTCCCCTTTGCAGAAAAGCATCCCCAAAGAATGATGTTTCCACCTCCATGCTTCACGGTTGGGATAGTGGTCTTGGGGTTGTACTCATCCTTCTTCCTCCAAACACGGCGAGTGGAGTTTAGACCAAAAAGCTCTATTTTTGTCTCATCAGACCACATGACCTTCTCCTATTCCTCCTCTGGATCATCCAGATGGTCATTGGCAAACTTCAAACGGGCTTGGACATGCGCTGGCTTGAGCAGGGGGACCATGCGTGCGCTGCAGGATTGTGTGTTACTAATGGTTTTCTTTGAGACTGTGGTCCCAGCTCTCTTCAGGTCATTGACCAGGTCCTGCCATGTAGTCCTGCCATGTAGTTCTGGGCTGATCCCTCACCTTCCTCATGATCATTGATGCCCCATAAGGTGAGATCTTGCATGAAGCCCCAGACCGAGGGAGATTGACCGACATCTTGAACTTTTTCCATTTTCTAATGATTGCGCCAACTGTTGTTGCCTTCTCACCAAGCTGCTTGCCTATTGTCCTGTAGCCCATCCCAGCCTTGTGCAGGTCTACAATTTTATCTGATGTCCTTACACAGCTCTCTGGTCTTGGCCATTGTGGAGAAGTTGGAGTCTGTTTGATTGAGTGTTTGGACAGGTGTCTTTTATACAGGTAACGGGTTCAAACAGGTGCAGTTAATACAGGTAATGAGAGGAGAACAGGAGGGCTTCTTAAAGAGAAACTAACAGGTCTGTGAGAGCCGGAATTCTTACTGGTTGGTAGGTGATCAAATACTTATGTCATGCAATAAAATGCAAATGAATTACTTAAAAAAAAAAAAATCATACAATGTGATTTTCTGGATTTTCTTTTTAGATTCCGTCACTCACAGTTGAAGAGTACCTATGATAAAAATTACAGACTTCTACATGCTTTGTAAGTGGGAAAACCTGCAAAATCGGCAGTGTATCAAATACTTGTTCTCCCCACTGTATGCATGTATTGTATGACTTCACCCGAGTGCATTTTTCAGTAACAGGTTTGTTTTTGTGGCTTGAATAATATAGAGCTTCATATAGAGAAATAATATAGATCACCCATTCTATTTCCTTTTGCACTGTTTTTAGTTTAGAAACCATATTGTAATTGTTAGAATTTTCAAGGATCAGCATTCTCCCCTAAAAGTGATCAGGCAGACCAAACAGTAAGTCATAGACTTGAAAGTTTGAGGGATGGTAGTACCCACCCCGTCTACAACGTCACCAAGGCATACAATGTTCATGTATCTCGAAAAACACTGCCGCAATCGACCAGTGAAGATCGAGCGGCTGTCAGAGAAGGTAAACGGAGGCAGAACGGACCGAAACTCGCTGGGCCTGTTTGACTCATGATCCTAGAGGCCTGTGAGAAATTTGAAAGAAACCGGCCACCGAGGGTGCCTTCGTGTTTTTCAAGTGCGTAAAAAGGATTGTATATCACATGATTTTTCACACATGCCCACGACATTCATACCATATGGCAGAACTCCTCTTTCTGAGCAACTTTGCCTCTTGGACCACTGCTGTCAATCAAATCATTCATTAAATATTTAAGAATATATATAAAAAATAAAAATAAAAAATAAAAACACTTTTGCAAACTAGTCCTAGGTTTTTCACTTAACCTCAATAAAACCACTGCAGTAAAATTCTCTAGACTCTCTAGGCCAATAATCATAAAAACAATTGTAGAACTTTACCCTTTGGATAGCTGTAACATTTAGAGTCATTTAGAAAATGGGCATGGCAAAATATATTCAAAAGCCTATAAAGCCAAAACGAAAATGCTATACTTTACTTTAGGTGAGCTCATGTGAAATATGATCCTAAACAAGCACGCACATTTTTATGGAGATCGGACCATAGGTGGCGCTATAACAGAACTTTTCCATCAAGAAGGTTACAGGATTGCTAAATAAAACATAACACCTTTTTACTTATGTGCATAAAAAGCACTTGAATCAACCTCGATAATTGCTGCTCGCAGCTATATTTAAAAAAAATGCCTTAATTAAAACCCATTGATGCTACTTTGTTTATTTTTTAAGTGAACTTTTGGAGATTAGATTCACTGTTTTGGACTGCCACCTTGAACTTGAGAATGCGATTACAGAATGACGTGACCAGTGTGCGATAATCCTGCCTGTGAGATGTCCATGGCACGGCGCTTCCAGACTTCTGTGCGACTTCCGCCGGAGCCCTAGTAGACAATTGAGAGGCCACTTTTTCCAGCCCGTTCTCATAAAAGCTGCAAGACTTTTGGGCAAAAAGCGCCCAAGTGTCTACGTCCAGGTATACTCATGGAAATTATGAGAGATAATTACAGTTATTGTAATTATAATTATAATAATTCAATGGTATCCGCAAATATATTAATAGTTATTAGGCAATAGTTATTAGGCAATAATTAATTATTGCAGAAGTTCATTATAAGATGATTAATTTGGGGCTTTCACGATTCCTCGATTAAATTTGAGCGCTTGACTTTAAAAAAATCCTCGATTTAAATTTTCCCATGTGGATTAATTGGCAAAATGCTGTAAGTGGCGCAATCCACGGAAGAGCAGCATGAATGAACTACATTATTAGACCGTATTCTAAGGCTGCACAATATATTTAAGCCACATTGGGATTTTTAAATGGTTTTGTGCTATTGTGAAATCACAAACACTAGCTGTTTTCCAATAATGTGCATTTGGGAATGCATTTAAAGTCTGATGCGCTTTGGGTTTCATAACGAACCGTTGCGTTGTTATCATTTTCATGCGTTTTTACTGATTAGACTAATTAGCGTTTATGAAAAGACAAGGTGTAAATGCCCTCTAATTGTATCTGAAGAGGTTTAATGGGATCTGAATGTGATTCTTAAAGGTCTGCTGAGGTCTAATGCAGTTTGATGTGGTCTAATGTAGACTAAATTGGTCGGTCAGATTTTTGACTGATTTGCTGTGTCTTGACGTAAAAACTAGTATTTAAAAAGTATTTAAAACTTTCAGACAAGACATCAAAATTTGTACACAAGCTTTATCTATCTAGTAAAAAATGTTTCTTATCCAAGCACCTCTGAAAGCAAAGTCCCATCTTGTTTGCAAGCGCATGCAGCAGAAGTACAGTTTGACCCCAGGCTGCATTAATTTCATTCCATTCCACTGGTACGCTGGGTAATCTGCCCAGGCGGAAGTTATTTATTGTTCCAAACTGCCCACTGTGCCTGAGAAAGGTATAGAAAAAAAAAGAAGAAAACTTCAAATGTTTATATGCGTAATTTTAACCAATTCAGTTTTGCATATAAATGCATATAAATTATCGGCTTATTCAATGTGCACATATTTCTGTTTTGATGCCGAGACTTGTTCCTAAAATATTAATTAAAACAGGTTTTTATAAAGAGATATGAAACCAGATATGAAAGGTGGAATTGAAAACGTTGGTCTTCTTGAGTCTGTCTAGTTGAATCTGACAGTAACGCATCTGATTGTCCACACTCTTAAGATCATCATCCAACTCCAGCTGCTGTCTCTTAAACTCGCAGTACTCCTTCTGATACCTGAGACAGAAACAGACAAACAAAGATGACAAAATGTATTTACCTGGAAACTGACAGCAACAAAAAAAGTTTAAAAGTATTTAAAGGTGCTCTAAGCGATGTCACGCGTTTTTTAGGGCAAAAAATTTTTTGTCACATACAGCAAACATCTCCTCACTAACCGCTGGCTGCCTGTCCCCTGAACACACTGTAAAGAAACGCGATCTCTGTAGACAGCCCAGGCTCCACAAACAGCAACAAAAGCAAACTGCAGCGACCCGCTCCCTGAAACATAATAAACTATTCCAGCCAATGACCGACAAGAAGGGTTTGGGGGTGTGGTTTGGGGGGTTAGTGTGCGGATGAGGAGGAGGGAGGGTCTAGCTAGCCTCCGTTTTGACAATAGTTCGAACGTCAACAAGAAGTGACGTCACCCAGGATCGCTTAGAGAACCTTTAAAAGGGACACATCATGAGGAATCTTTTTTCTTTTTCTCAAAAACAAAACAAAAAAACATGGTAAATGCACTACAAAAATGCTGTAACCACTTCAACTATATTGTACTGTATACAACATGTTTTAGATTAAAAATGGCTAACTTCAACGTCGCCTTCACCTGATTTCAATCTGATCTTGACAGTTTGAGCAGTAAATTTTTAGCAAGGACTGCATTATGAATGTTTCACAATACAGTGCGTGCAGAATTATTAGGCATGTTGATTTTCTGATCATATATTTTTTCCAGGTACATTTTACCAATTCCAAACCTCATTAATCTTAATAACTACTATTAATTTTGTATTTAATAATTTATAAGTGATATATAATTGTTCATGAAGGCTGGAAATGAAAAATGCCTTATATTCAGGTGTGCAGAATTATTAGGCAAATGTTCTTTTACAGATAAAATAAGCCAAAAAAGAGATTTAACTCGGACTGAAAAGTTAAAAATTATTAAATGCCCATAAGAAGGATGCAATACTAATGCAATACTAGAAATTGCAGTTAAAGGCACACTGTGGAACTTTTGGCCACTAGGGTGCGCTCGACCTGTAATTTTCACGTCTAGTGCCCCTAGAGGCCACAAGCGCCGCAGCATTGTCGCAAAAGTCAACAAACAGTCAACCGGTCAACCTCCCGTGTCTGTATGTGTGTGCAGACGGCATTTGATTTGTATGTTGGAGAAAGTTAATCGATTCACTACTGACCAAAATATTAATATAAATATAAGATTAATAATATAAATCCTATAAAGAAAACAAATTGAATAAAAGTAGCATACGCAGAAAACAATGTCTGATCAGGTAAGTCGCATTGACAAGGGTTGCCCAATCCTGCTCCTGCCGATCGTCTGTCCTGCACAGTTCATCTCCAACCCTAATCAAACACACCTGAAGCAAACAATTAACGTCTTCAGGATCTCTTTGCAATGGGTTGGAGATGAAATCGAGTAGTCGGGAAATCGTGTAACAAAACTGATATAACTCACTACATATTTCCGTTATTTGTAGTCTTCAGTTTGTTTTTCCTTTTACACAAATACAAACATATGAGCTGAAAGAAAAAAAAAAAACATTTACATTTGTATACAGCAGTATGTTGTGACTTATATCAGTTTTGTTACACGAATTCGCAGTAAATATTACATTATATACACTTTTATGCCGATGTTTATTTTAAACTCTCCCTTTATCTTTTTTTGGTCTCCTCTGACAAAATCTTTGCTTTCTTCGCTTTCTTCCGAGTAGCTGTTGATTCAGCCATGACGACAACATACAGACGCCGGCAATCAAACGCGAGTTGAGCTCTCACGTTAGAATTTGAGGAAGTTGGGGTGGTGGGGGAAGTGACGTATGCCGTAAAGCGGTCGAATTTTGTAGTTCTTTTTGTGCTCGGGTTCCTACCCGAAACCCGAAGTTACATAGTGCTAGTAAAAGCGATACAGACACCTTCAGGCTTCGGCAGACGTGTCATTCAACCTATTGTAAGTCGATGTACCATCTCAATGGGTTTTGGTAATATATTATAAAGGTTGAAAAGTTCCACAGTGTGCCTTTAAGGCATGAACATTGGACAGTGAAATGCTCAGTGGGTAAGCAGGGTCAGACAAAAACAGGTGGAGAAGAAAAAACACATTATTTGCAAAAGAATTACGAATTAAGGTGAAGAATTAAGTGTGAAACCATCAGGAACCCAATAGTCTCCAGCGCCACCATTTTCCAGAACTGCAACCTACCTGGAGTCTCCAGAAGTGCAAGGTGTCAGGATCTCAGAGACTTAGGTTAGGTAAAGAATCCTAAAAAATGACCCCCACTTAATAAGAGTCACAAGCTCAATTGTAGTAAAAAAAAAATTATAGACTTTATAGACAGACAAGTTTTGGGAGTTCATTTTTAATTAATTTTTAGTCCATCTCTACAAAACGGACTCTTCAAGCCTGGAAATTATTCAAACAGTGGCACAAGAGGATGTGATACTGGTCCTTCAAGAGTCACTCCAAATCTGTCTATCTTTTTGGCTTATTTTATCTGTAAAAGAAAACGTGCCTAATAATTCTGCACACCTGAATATAAGGTGTTTTCCATTTCCAGCCTTCATGAACAATTATATATCACTTATAAATGATTAAATAAAAAATTAATAGTAGTTATTAAGATTAATGTGGTTTGGAATTGGTAAAATGTGCCTGGAAAAAAACTTTGATCAGAAAATCAACGTGCCTAATAATTCTGCACGCACTGTACAAGCTTTGCAAAGAAGCTGTAAAGGAGGACAACAGCAGACAATCTGCAGCTCATCTGTGAGTGCAGAAGTTCATTGTTTAGTTGTGTCCCTCTCACATACTAAATGCAAGCATTGCCCTAGGGAACAGGGATTCCCCCATTATAATAAAAAAGAATGATATGACTCCATTGTAAATATTCTAATTCATATGTACTGAAGTTCTTCAGTGTCCATCAGCTGGCTGTGGTTTCGTCCCTCGGCCAGCTCTTTGGCCACAGCTTCACGCTGACCCTCAATGCTCTCCAGTTCCTGGATCAAAGATTCCTCTTCTTGTTTCAACTGCTGCAGTGCATTCAGTAGACTGGCCTCCTCCTCTTTTGGTAGCTGAGACAGCAACTCTAAACAGCTCCTGACAATTCAAAGCCAATTGAGTGACCCGCTGGAATCAATGATGTCAATCATGTATTGACTAAAAAGGTTTAAATGACAAAAATAATGATACAAACACTAACACAAGAAAATGAACACATCCCACTCAGAAAAAGAAAGAAAAACAGTCGTTTGTTACTTGCCATGTTTTGAGTGTGAGTGATACTAACTTGTAATTCTGGCACTCATTCTCAGTAATGTTGAGTTGTGTGTCGAGATGGTCCAGTAGTGTGTCAGTACATTCCTCACACAGTGGGTGATCAATATCTGTCTGACCAGACATGATGTCAAACAGATCGCTTGTCACCTACAGGAAAAACACACATACAGTAAGAAGGATCTATTCTGATACATCCATCTACTCACCCAACCTATACTGCTTGAACAGGGTTCTACCCTAGAGTTCCAAAAAAAACCTTTATGCCGAAAAGGTTCTACAAATTTTACTCTAGCACAAGTTTCATTCCTGAATAAAATAAACTCAATGCATTTGCATGTTTAATAGCTTTATTAAAAATGTATCTCTTTAAGCCATACGTTTTATCTATTTATTAATGAATGCTTTATTAGTCTGCGATTTATTTTGCACATTAACATTCATGACTGAAAGTTCTTCAGCTGTCATGTCAAAAGACGCCATACAGCTCTTACACTGATGAGTAACAGGCTCATATGTCATTTAATGATTATATGTGTCTATTAAACAGATGCATGAAATAATCACCATAAACACCAAACAAATTGAATGTGTAACTATGCTGCGCTGATAAATTTTGCAGAGACATAAATTGTGCCGCATTTCAGGCACATGGTTTTTGCGAAAGTGATTACAGAGCTTGCATACACCGCATTTTAAACTCCAACTGTTATGGACGTTAGTTTGAGATTAACAGCCGGGAAAACAAGGGTTACTTTGCTAAATGAGAAAACTAATTGATCTTATTTTATTTACTTCTACCCTAAAACCTTGTCTTTGATGACTTACATGTTTATTTGAAGAAGCATAAACAAGAAAGGTGGTTTACTGTATTGTCCAGGTCTTGATGTAGTTTTTTTTTTTTCTGGCATGAATCCCTAAAATCTATTAATAAAAAAGCTGCTGTGGATTGATCAATAATGCTGGCAAAAGTTCATGTTATAGTTCAATTTACTTTTCTTTGTACTATGGATTGTATTGAACCTACAACCCGATTTGAATAAAATTTGGGACATTTTGTAAAATGCAATAAAATCAAGAAATTCAAAAGTACAAAGAATAGATTTCCAAAGTTTCCACTGACCAAACTAAATGTATTTTCTAAATATAAACACACTTTGATTTTGATGGATGCAACACTCCAAAAGTGGGACAAAGGCCATAAAAAAAAAAAAATTTGGAATGGGATATAGATTTTCCAAGTTAAACTGTTTTGAAACAGGCCACAAGAAGCACGTAATTTGGTAATGGTGGGGTATTGTGATTGGGTATAAAGGAGCATCTCAGTCTTTCCATGCAAATACCACTTTGTGCCAAATATCATGAAAGAATTGTCAAACAACCAGGACATATTGGGACATATTGTATTTTACAAAATGTCCCAACTTTTCTGGAAATTAGGTTGTAGAAAACATAGGAAAAGACTAAATGTTTCAAAGCAAATCAAGTCACTAAGGAATTGATGGAGATGTTTCCATTTCTTCTGAGGATAACAGAGTATTTGGTGTTTGCAGTTATATTATACAAAAAATAAACATTTGTATTGCTGAGTTAATAGCACACGTTAAACTTTGCATTTGTGTGTTGAAGATGCATTATGAAATGAAGATGGATTTTGGTAAAGACCTTCACTTAAGTCAGAGAGCCCTTTTTAAGTTATGGTGAAAAGTGGAACATTTGACCAACCTGAAGCATACACATATTCGTAACAATTTTTTTTTGCACTAAACGAATATAGTGCTGTTTTAATCACTGCACAAGCAGAACTTCTGTATGTGTGTAACGTAATTTGAGCTTCCACCCTGGGATGAGATAATATTGTTTATATCAATATACGTTGACGCTGCTACCTGTAATTGTTATTACGTGGGGATAGACAATAATGTTTGGTTTTTTTAATTGAATTGAAGTCATGGTAACTATGAAGATCCAGAAATTTCATTTTAGAAATGTATTAACAATCAAGAGGAGACAGCAAGCAATGCCAACATGCCACATGGTCAGCTTCCATTCAACTTCTCTTCTACTCCCTAGGTCTTCAACCCACTGAGGGTCCCCAGGAGCAGGGTTGAAGACCTAGGTTCTACACCTTTTATAGGGTACCAGCATAACAACCCATAGCGCCATCTTCTGGACAATAATAAAATAAAAGGAAACAATATAGTCCCCATAACTTAATCCAATTCCTCATTTCAATATGACTGTCACTCCTGAAACTTTCCAGTGTGTACTTGGCAGCATGAAAAATAACACTTCAAATGATGAATGGGTTATATCAGAAAGCGACCAAAAAGCACTTCCTTTATCATCAATGAAGCTAATATCACTTCAGTTCAGCCTCAGCGCAAGCTTACTGAATGAAAACTCCCATTATAATAAAAAACCGGTAACACTTTACAATAAGGTTCATTAGTTAATGTATTAACTAACATTAACTAACCATGAGCAATACATTTGTTACTGTATTTGTTAAACTTTGTTAATGTTAGTTAATAAAAATAAAGCTGTTTATTGTTTGTTCATGTTAGTTCAAAGTGCTTTAACTATTTAACTAGATTTTAATAAAGTATTCGTAAATGTTGAAATTAACATTAACAAAGATTAATAAATGCTGTATAAGTGCAGTTCATTCTTAGTTCATGCTAACTAATGTAGTTAACTAATGTTAACTATTGAACCTTATTGTAAAGTGTTTCCAAAAAACCTATCTATACTGCACAATAAATCTTTTATTTTCATTGTCTTTATACTTTGTTGGTTATAACGAAATGATTCAAGAGAATGCAAAGCTCACGCTGAACAAACTCTGCGTTTAAGTTTGTCAGAATCTGCTCAAGACGACACTCTGATTGGCCATTGAGTTCACACACTCATCAAACATGTCTGTAATTGGCTACAATGCTCCCCACTTTAAAAACACATTGTAAATAGAATAATTTGGCACTCTTCACAGAGCGCTCACACAAATACACACAGAAGTGTTTGAAATCAGCACCTATCAGTGGGTAATGGATTCACCCAGTACTCTATACTATACCGGTACAGCATAAAGACTGGTACTGTTAGGTTTTTAAAATTTAAATATCAAATTGGTACTGCAGTACCAGTACTTTTGAAAACCTTAATCCATCCACTCTCTCAATGACACCAAAGTCAAGAATAAGCTGAAGTTCTTCACTGACAGCCTTTCGAACAGATCTGAGTTTCTGACCAGGTGTAACATTAGGAGAGACTTTTACTTTATCCAGGAAACCTTTTGTACATCACAGCTTAGCAACAGGCAGAGAAGCAGAAAGGCCCATTACAGGTGCTGACAATCGAGCAGATTCCGAAAGAATGGAAGAAGAAAATGCAATCCATTAATCAAAACCATTTCAAGAGCCACGCCAAACTCAAAAATTGATAGGCCCTGAAGGGTTTCTGGAATCCACTGCTGCTTCAATGTATATCTAATGAGTGATTATAATCAAGGTATTAATCAATATTTTTCAGTCAAAATATCAAATGAGTGCATGACTTCTCTAAGCGTATGAGATTTTACTTATAGAAGTTACCAGTGTGATTACTGAAATGTTCTTTTCATGTATTCTCTAATGTCTGTGTTAAATATCTGAGAGGTGACTGAGGGTCTTGCCAATGCCAGGAATTCAGTAACAGTGCTTGCTCATTTAGCCCAGCTAAACAAAACTCAGGGTCCTGGTGGCAGCCGTACAGACTATGGAGATATGCTACTACCTTACTGCAGCGCCAGGCTTGACGCAAGTGTTTTTTGCTAGTTTCAGCCCAACAGTTATTTTCACGTCCTGCGCCACGTTGTTTAAATAACAAATGCATTTGTGCGCCCATAGGCGTGCTGGTCTGAAAACGAGGTGTGTTTAGGCGTATTGCTGGCGTGTTGCTATTTTGAGGCAACTGAAATAGACTGTGCCATTGACAAACTGAAACCTGGCCTAAAGTCAATGGCGCAATTTTATTTTTGTTATTTAAAGAGCGCGTTAGTAACATGAGTCTATAGGCGGGTTCACAACACACATACACTTTGTCCCGTAGATGGATCCGTTTCCTCGCTAGAGAAGTGTTCCGCTTTCCCGCTTGCAAATTCCGCCATGTAAATAGCAAATCCGCCATGGCGCAAGCGCAACTGGCTTTTAAAGGGAATGGGAGATGAGACTTTGATTGGTTTATTGCACGTTATGCCCAAAACACGTCCCAATTCTCTTAATGAATAATGGGTAAGCCTTTTAGACCATGCGCCAATTTGTCCCTTAGTTAAACTAGCAAAAGTGGACTTAGACTCGTCATAAGTGCGCTTGCACCGTGCATTTCGTTAACATCATCCTTGGTGACAGAAAAAAGTAAGCAAAAAAGTACTGGTATTGGGTCCTGGAATATGTCACTGTAACGCAGTTCAGATGTTATGGGTAAAAGGAGGCGGGAACCGGCGAACATTTAAAGAATTTAATAACAAAACAAAACAAAACGAAAGTAAAAGCCAGCACCCCCTCACGGACAACTGCTGTCACATAATAAAACAAACACCACAACATAAAAAAAAATCTTGGTCCGGTTCCACAACGCACTGCTATCTGGTCCTCCACCAGCTTGGTGATCTTCTCCGCTGTGCCTGGCGGTGGCGCTGGATAGCCCTCGGTGGACGGCTCGACACTCTTCCGCCACCTGGTGGACGGCGACGGCTCCTTCGGGGTCGGGTAGTCGGCAGGAGTCCCCTGTTCCCTGCTCCACACCGTCATGGCGATGGCAGCAGGCTCTGGCCCACGGCGAACGGCTCCTTCGCTCCCTCACGGACGAAAGCCGCCCCTCCAGCACCCAGGCGGGCGGCAGCGAGCTCGACCGCCCCCCCCGGCAACTCACTCCAAAATCATTTAGTTCTGTTAGAGCTGTGTCGGTGTCTGCTTAATAAATCATGAGCTTAACGAGAGTTGCAGCATAGATCGGCAGCAGGAGTCAGATTTAATTGATCACAAGAGTGAGGAGCTGACGATGATGGCGGAATATTTGGTGTCAAAGCGAAATGAAAAAGCGCCTATATAAGCGAATTTGTCATTGTACTGTTTTGTTGTTGTGTTTTTCATTAAGAATAATAGGCTAAT